ATTATATTCAATTCAATTCAATTTTCAGGCGGAGTGAATTCTTGCAAAAAATGTATAGTCGAACGGGTCGCCAGTGGACACTTTTTCTATCATTGGCTTTTTGTATTGTGTCACGATTGCCGACTTTCTGGGCGCTTAAGGGTGAGTGGGAAATGGATTCTAGAGTAGTTGTCTTCTTCTGAATGGTCCAACTGGGTCCTGGGGCCTGTAAACAGGGCATCCGAATCAGTCAAGCAAGTCAAGCAGGTCAATCTCTAGCTTCGGGTTTAGATCTAGGCCTAGACCGGGCTTCGGACAAACCAAGTTCTGATGAGCTGATGGAAAAGCCAACAGACCCAGATTGAGACCAGATTAGGTAAAGATCAATAGATTCAGGCCTATGGCCGGTCCAAGAGCTTTTCGTAGGCTTGGCCTTGCGGGCCTGGCTTGTCTTAGCTTTTCTTGTCTTGTCCTGGCTTGTCCGAACTCGTAGACGGTCAAAAATCCAAGGAAATCAAGCCAGATTCTAGCTAAGGCTAGCTATGGACTAGCTAAGGCTAGCTAGGGACTAGCTAGGGCTAGCTAGGGCTAGCTAGGGACTAGCTAGGGCTAGCTAGGGCTAGCTAGGGACTAGCTAGGGACTAGCTAGGGCTAGCTAGGGCTAGCTAAGGCTAGCTAGGGCTAGCTAGGGACTAGCTAGGGCTAGCTAGGGCTAGCTAGGGACTAGCTAAGGCTAGGCAATGTCAATCTAAGGCCAATAGGTCCAATCTAAGCTCTAATTTTGTTGTGGAAAACAGGAAGTTTTTAAAAACATTTATCATTTATCACTTTTCAGTCGCCGACTACCCGGACTGCCCAATTTTCCTCCGAACAAAGTTGACAGAGCCAGCTGATTGGACAATAGAGCCAACATTGCTCGCATCGGGATACTATGTTTTTGATTACTATTTCTTATCATTTGGACAATCGCTCGTCCCGTTTGTCATCCTCTTTTTACTCAACGGGGTGAGTCGACTCAACAATATTTTAAAAAAAAGTTTCAAAACGAAGATCTAGATTGAAAAATCATCGCTGTGCTATCCAGGATTTATGAATTTTTTTAAATTTTGATATTTAACCGCTCATAAAACAGTAGAATCGATGAGCATAAGGAAATTTTGAGATTGAGCTAATTTTTTAGTGTAGAGCAAATGCAGGAGCATGGATGATTTTAAAAATCACATATCTGGATGTCACAATGTTTAAATAAAATGTAAATAAATGTAAATTTAGGTGATCGTCTTCAAGTTGCACGAGGATCAGACAAAGTCGGAGCAGAAGCAGCAATTCTGCAAGTCGACGCTGAACACGCTGGCGGTTACCTACGGGGATTACGGTACGGAGACGAAGGCAGGCAGTCGATCGCGTGAGTGCTTTTCTTAACCACGCTTTTGTCAAAAACCCAGTGGTAAACCTGTAAGACAAGTCAGATAAGAATAAAAATTTTTAAAATCTTCTAAACTCTTTTCTGATCATTTAGAAGAGCTCTGTGTCATCCAGAATAAAGAAAATCCAAGTGAGTTTTGAAAGTAATCTGAGAAATTTTTTCAAAAACCCCGTCAGCAGATTTTCCCTATGTTTTCTTCTGTTTTATATAGAAAAATTCATATGTTTGCTGTGTTTAATTGAAAAAATCGTGTAAAAACTTGTGTAAACTTTTGTAAACTTTGGTAGACTTGGTTAGTTCTCGATTTTAGTTCTCGATTTTTGAGATCGAAACTTTGAGGACTTGATTGAATATGGAATTAGAGTTGATTTTTCGATTTCTAGTAGTTGATTAGCTTCACAGCATACAGGAGTTGGGCATTGGTTTGAAGAATAACTGGTCTACTGTAGGTCTACTGTAGGTCTACTGTAGGCCAAGCCTTGGTCTTGGTCTAGCCTTTGGTCTAGGATTTGGAGTCTAGACCCTGCCGTTCAAAGCTTCGAGAATTCGATCTAATCCAAAGATCTGATCTGATCCGGTATCTGATCCGGTAAATTTATATCCGATATTATATCATGGTTAGGCCAAACCAGGCCAAAACCAAACGTGGACCAGGGCCAGATCAAAGCCATTCAAGCTTGAAGTCGAGCTACGGGCTAAGAAGTTACGGGCCAGCTAAGGCCTAAGGAGTTACGGGCTAGTTAAGGGCCGGGCCAGCTAAGGCCTAAGGAGTTACGGGCCAGCTAAGGCCTGACTAGGGTTAGTTTATGGTCGGCCAGGCCAGGTCAGGCCAGTAGACACAGTATTTTGAGCCAGAAGAGCCTGTGCCATCCAGAATAAAGAAAATCCAAGTGAGTTTTAAAAGGAATCTAAGAAATTTTTTCAAAAACCCCGTCAGCAGATTTTCCCTATGTTTCCTTCTGTTTTATATAGAAAAAGTCATTCGTTTGCTGTGTTTTATTAAAAGAAATCTTGTAAAACTTGTAAAAATTTAGTTTTAAAGGGTTTAGCTCTCGATTTTTGAGATCGAAACTTTGAGGACTTGATTCAACATCGAATTTGAGTTGATTTTTGGATTTTTAGTAGATAAGCTTTAAACAGAATACGGGATTTCAGTCTTCGATTGAAAAATGGCTCATCTATCCGGTAGGCCAAGCCTTGACCTAGCATTGGCCTTGGTCTTAGCCTTGATCTTAGCCTAGCCTTGACCTAGCCTTGACCTAGGATTGGCCTAGCCTTGGCCTTGGTCTTAGCCTTGATCTTAGCTTAGCCTTGGCCTAGCATTGGTCAAGCCTTGGCCTTGGTCTTAGCCTTGATCTTAGCTTAGCCTTGACCTAGCCTTGGCCTAGTCTTGACCTAGCCTTGGTCTTGGTATGGCCTTGGCTTTAACCTAGCCTTGACCTAGCCTTGGCCTTGGTCTTAGTCTCGGCCTCGACCTAGCCTTGGCTCTGAGATTTGGACTTCAAACCCAGTATGTTATTCAAAGCTTTTCAACTCTAAGAAATCCAAAAATCAAGTGCATTTGGCATAAAAAAATCAAAAAATGAATTTATTTCCAAAGAACGATCAAAAAAATCGAGAGTTTTCGCGGAATTTCGTCAAGAAATGACTAATTTCAGCCTCGTTTGTCGCTCTGTTCCCAGCATTGAAAACAAACAGTGTACAGGTATATAAAACAAGCTGAAAAAGAAAAATATCGAAATTTTTTTAAAGAGAGATATCCTTGGACAATGGGTTTTCTTCAAAGTGATCGATGAGAAGTTGAGAGAATGAAATTAAAGCCAAAAAAATAGAGATCTAACGATCTTCAGCACTTCTAGTCGATTAGAGAGAAAAAGTACGGTAGTTTTAGGCAACTATGGAGGTCACAGAATTCATAATTAGGAATAGGATTACGGTAGAAAGGTGATTCAAGAGTAAAACAGTCTTGCACCATGATAATAGGTCCGATTAGCACTGGATTGAAAAGTTAGCGCTTTTTTTCGCCGATCTGGAGCGCACACTAGTGATTGCACTAGTTTACGGTAGCTGGGGCACAAATTTTTAGTGTAGGGATACGGTAGTTTGAGCACAGTTTAGCAAGCAGACACAAAATTACCGTTTCCCTTTCAGGTTCGATCGGCAATGTATACGATGCTGGCCATAGTTACGTCCTATCTCGTCTCAACCGGTCTACATTTGATTTTAACGATTTTAGAGCGGTGAGTGCGTTGCTTTACGGTGAACACGACTTTTTGTCTGTACAGTACATTGGGCTTTTTCGTAGATTGATGCCGTGACATCCAGATGGGATAAAAATTTAGTGCAAAAGTTTTATAAGTTATTTTTAAGGTCAAATTCGAGCCTGATCGTCGACCCAGAGAATAAGGAGGAGTTCACCACGTTTCACACCATTTTTTCCGACACCGTCACTTTTGTCTACATGCTTAGGTAAAGGGGAAATGGGCAAATGCGGAAATGGTTGTTAAATTGATGAATTTTTTGGGTAAAATCAATACTCACAATCAGAGCTTTTAGCCCTGAAGCACTTCTAGAGAAAAAAAATCGATGAATTGAATTTCAAAATATTTCTTTTGCCTTTTTAGCCAAATTGGAAGGCACATCGGCTTTTAAAATGCTTTATTTTTCGATTCGTAAAAACTTTTCTGAAATCATTGCTCTGCGTGGTGATTTGATGCAATCAAAAATTGCCTTTTCACAAATGACAATACTTTTCGTTAACTATGGAGCTAACAGCTAACAGCTAACAGCTAACAGCTAGCAGCTAGCAGGTTACAGCTAACAGTTAACAGCTAACAGTTAACAGCTAACAGTTAACAGCTAACAGCTAGCAGCTAGCAGGTTACAGCTAACAGTTAACAGCTAACAGCTAACAGCTAACAGCTAACAGCTAACAGCTAACAGCTAACAGCTAACAGCTAACAGCTTACAGCTCACAACTCAAAATTCCAGTTCGATCTCAGTTTTGAGATCTCTGTGCTTTGCGTGAAGACTTCAGTAGAATTTTGATGAAATAAAAAAAAGCCTTTTCACAAATGACGATCTTTTTCTTCATTTATGGAGCTGATAGCTCAAATTGCAGTTCGGCGATTCGCGTTTGCATCTACTATGTTTGCAATCCCAAGATTCGCGACGACATTCGCGGGGTTTTGTTCCGTCGTCGGCAATCGATTATCGAGTACGTGTGAAAGCGTGATGACACTTTGAAAATGTCTGTAAAAAAATCATTTGAAAAGCTTTTCATGAATCCTCAAATCTACGGGTATTCTGGAAAAAAAAAATTTCGTTTTTTTTTTCGAATTTTTTTTTTTTTTTTCGGATTTTACATTTGATATATGCAAATTTTCTTGAATAAATGCAAATTTTTATGCAAAAACTTTTATAAAAAGCAAGTTTTATGTGAAAAAAAATGGGAAATTTTTTTTTTGAATTTTTGAAATTTTTGAAATGGAATGAATTAAAAGTTGAAAAATTGGGGAAAATTTTTTTGCAATTTTCCCCAAAAAAGAAAACGTTACAGGCAGTTGTTTAGCTTTGAAAAGAATATAAATCTTTAGTAATTCCCAGCGACAATCTTGAGAAGACAATCCTTGTAAAGGCCTGAGGTGTCACCCTGAAAAAAAGCTTTCCATAAATTTCCAAAAATTTCCAAATGTCCAAATTTCGAAAAAATTCGATTCTAGCTTTTAAGTTGCCCTCCAGAATGGCGAAAAATTTGTAGTAGAAGAGAAAAAGTGATTTCTCTGGCAAGAAATTCAGCCATTCTCAATATTTACCTGGAATTCAGCTATCTCAAAGAAAAAAACGCATAAAATTTTCAATAATCTATTCTGCTTTTTAAGTTGCCCTCCAGAATGACGAAAAATTGAAAGTTTAAGAGAAAAAAATCACTTTCCCAGCCCGAAATCAACCCATTCTCAATTTGTGCCTTATAAATCTCCCCTACCATTCCCTACTAATTTTAGAGCCTCTATCGTACCTTAATATGGTCTTCTAAAGTCTTTCCGTACAGCTCTTTGTACTCGTCTTTGATCACTCGCAAATCCACTTCGGAACGAGTGACCAAGACACGGATTAAGTCGTTGTCACGAGTTCCGAGTCCCTGAAATGTTTGAGAATTGTTCTAGTGCCAATTTTAGCTGAGACAGCTCTGAGACAGCTCTGAGACAGACAGCTCTGAGACAGACAGCTCTGAGCCAGACAGCTCTGAGCCAGACAGCTCTGAGCCAGACAGCTCTGAAACAGCTCTGAGACAGCTCTGAAAGACAGCTCTGAAAGACAGCTCTGAGACAGCTCTGAGACAAGAAAGCCGAGCTTCGATCTGGCTTTGACTTTGAGTCAAGTAAGCAAAACCAGAATCAGATCGGAGAACCGATTTGTGACACTGACCTTCATGGCGTTGTAAAGTTGAACGGCGAAGAATTTCTGCTTGTTTGTGGAGGCTCTGAAAATGTAAGGCGTCCACTAGATTACTAACTTCAATTTACCTTGCAATAGTGAGATACGAGTTGCGGAGATCGCCACTAAACTCTTTCTCAATAGCCTTCTCAATAGAGACACCAGAGAGTTTTTCGAACTCGGCGAACACCTGAAATTGTTGAAGCAGTCAATGGCTGTCAACGATTCAAATAGGCAAACTTTAGCTAGATAATTTTAATCTCAAATCTCATTAATTTTCTTTAGAATCATTTAGAATTCTTTAGAATTACCTTGCGAAGCTGGTACTGATTCTGGGTGGCTAAGATTTTCAAGAAGTGCGATGGAGCATTTTTGTCACCGGCCAGCTTTCCCTTTCCGTCAGCGAAGAGGCGCACAGCGTCCTGGCAAAATTTTAGTAGACGTTAATGCTTGAACAATGACTTGGACTTACATCTTTAGCCTGTGCATCATTCGTTTCATGTGATGGATCCTTGGCACCGGTGACTAAAGCAACCAACAAATCGCGAAACTCTCCCGACGTGTCACCAGCGACATCCTGAAATCAATGGTTTAGATCTAAGAAAGCAGGATTTATAGAGAAGATAAAGACAGTGAGATCAGCTGTCAGCTCAGAAGTTAGATTCGATCTGGCTTGATCTAGAAGATCTACAAACTCTAGAACCGATTGAACACATTCTTGGAATATCAACAAAAACATTAGAGATCATTAGAGAGAGAAGTTTAGAGGTTTTCTATTTTAGAATTCGAATTAGATTTACTTTCTCCAATTGCTTGTTGTAGTTTTTCTCATAGGCGGCTCGAATGGCTCTCAATTGATCGGCAGTACGCGAGCAAAGGATCTCAATCAAAACCGTTTCATCAGTGCCAAGACCCTAAAACAAATTCTTATCGATCGTGCGTTCTAGATTCCTCTAAAAAAGGGTGATCATTGTGCTGAAGGGGACTGTTGCTCGTTGTGTAAGATTAGGCCAATACATTGCCCGAGAACCAATTCAGATTGCTATTACTTGTTTGATTGCTATTACTTGTTTGATTACTATTACTTGTTTGATTACTATTACTTGTTTGATTACTATTACTTGTTTGATTACTTGTTTGATTACTTGTTTAGTTACTTGTTTAGTTACTTGTTTGATTACTTGTTTAATTACTTGTTTAATTACTTGTTTAATTACTTGTTTAATTACTTGTTTAATTACTTGTTTAGTTACTTGTTTAATTACTTGTTTAATTACTTGTTTATTTGTTTGAGTACTTGTTTAATTACTAAAAGCTTTTATGAAAATAAGAGCTAAGCATTTCCCAAGAGCATTTCCCGTTTCCCAAAAGTTAATTTTGCTAAAATTGACTCAACTTTTCATTTGATTTTGTAGTTTGTTTCGTTTAAAGCAAAGTTTTTTAAAGCGGGATAGTTAGATAAAGATTGGAAAGCAAAAATGAGATAACTGTAGCCAAAAAAAGAAAAACGGAAAAAAAAGAAAGCCGGGTAATTGTTGTTTTTTGATAAACTTCTCTAAAAAATAACCAACCGCTACGGCACCCTGAAAATCAAAAAAAATTTTTTTTTTGATAAAACATGCAAATAGAGATCTGACAAAGAAATCCCCCATTTTCTTTTTTTACCTTCATCGATTTCTTCAACTGTTTCACATCGTACTCCAATGGAGTTTCCATGAGGGCGAGCACCGCCTAGAATACAATAGAATAAATAAAATATTAGTTTGATGCATAAGTCTTTTTTTTTTTTTTTTTTTTTTTTCGTACTTCTGTTAAAAAGTAACAAATTCACGAATTAATCTATAGTAGTTTGCTCTATAAAAAAAGTGTTTTTTTTTGTTCAATTTGCATCTTTTTAAATGAATTTCGGTTGACTTTCAAGCAAATTCGAGAGTGAAAAACGCCTTTTTCGTCAAAAATCTATAAAAAACTCTACGGAAAAATTGGCTGAATGAATTTCGCTGAAATTTTGGCTATACACCTAACTTTTTGTGTTCTATCTTTTATCTATTGACACGAAGATAGGTTTTCTTTAGCTAAGGTGTCTAAACCGCTCAGGCTCAGGCTCAGGCTTAGGCTGAGGCTTAGCCTGAGCCTGAGCCTGAGCCTAAACCGCATCATCGAGTTAGCCCTTTTTGACTACCCGACTTCATACCCTCAAGAAAATCCAGGCATTTCTTTAGCTAAGGTGTCTAAACCGCATCATCGAGTTAGCCCTTTTTGAATACCCGACTTCATACTCTCAAGAAAATCCAGGCATCAAATATTTTTAAACCCGTTTTAATGTTATTTTGCTGAAAAATAATTGCTTTTTCTAATGAAATCAACCGTAGTTTAATTCGTGCATTTGTTGGCTTGAAACGGCGGACGAAAAGGAACGAAAAGACTTATGCATCAACCTAATACAATACAATAAATAAAATAGAATAAATAAACGACCTTAGGCTAAATAAATAATTCGCAATAATTCAAAAATAGTGTGACATCCAGAACTTTCAAAAAAACCCCTCACCGTCTCGATATCTCCAGAGAATTTCTTGTCAAGCGCTTCATCGATTTCCTTTCCGTATTTGAGTTTGTAGGGAGCGCGAAGCTAAAAATAACAGATTCTATGATAATCTGGATATCACAAAAGGGAAATAATCAAAAAAATCTACTTGTTGTCGTTGCGAGTTCGAGATCGAGGTCAACGTGTTGACAATGCCCTCTTTCTCGCCGGCGCGCAGAGCTCGATCGATTTTCTCGGCAAAGCTGAAACGTTGAGAAGATTTTCGATATCTTGAAGGCAATTCTGGAGCTCAGGCATCGTAATGGAGATGTCATTTTTGCAAAAGGATGAATATAAAATTTTAGCCTCGGTTTAGTTACCCAATTCCGTGCCTTGTTGGAATTCCCTGCCTTGCCTTTGCATTTAAATCAAAATTTTGAACGAGGATAGACCCAAACCCTAATCAAGGCCTTATATCCGTATCAAAAGTCTAAACAAATGCCACTCACACGTCAGCCTTGAACTCCGGATTGTCGATGATGGTGCAGTAGCTGTAGTTGGCCATTCTATTTCTGAAATTCAACGAAAAATTGATTTTGAAACATGGAAATCGCAAGCTGGAGCGCACAATCGAAAATGAAGCAAAAAAAAGTGGGGGATGGCAAAAGAAAAAAGGGAAAGCGGATTTTGACCTGGAAGTCATTGCAGAAAAAGCTCTGTAATCTTTTTGTAAGTCTTAATGTCTTTTTTTTTTTGACCGGAAACTGTAAATTGGAGGGCACAAGGAGGGAATTTGAAAAGAAAAAAAGAAAAAAAAGAAAACGAACGAAATCAGCAATATGAATCATTGGGCTGAGTCGAGGACAAAAAAAAAAGTCTTTTTTTTTTTTTTTGGGGAAATGTGGGCAAGCAAAATGTGCAAATGAGTAATCATTGCCGAAAAAAGGGAAAATTTTAAACTCTTACTACGTGCTGATAGCCAGATTTACTGAATTTAGGGAAAAATTTCGAAATGAGAACCTGGGGGCAAGCCAGGGTCGTTGAAGTGGCAACGCTACTACCAACTTCTCCATCTTCTCAAAAAAACAATGCTCTTGTGAGGAATTTAGCTTACATGCGTTCCAGAACTACTATTTACGATGTTTTTGGGAGGGATTTAGTGAAACTATCGAAAGTTATCGGGGTTTGAGCGAAAAAAAAGTAAGAGCTACCTCGAATCCGTGTACTCATTCTTGTCGTAATTACGAAATGGCTCGATTTTCGATGGATCTGGATGGCACTGCACTGATTGAGACGATTCTCTTCCAAATTTTCCACAAGTTTCACAAAAGCCTCCTAGCAAGCCATCATAGCAGTTCAAACACGAATAGCGAGTCGTTATCGGTAGGGACAAGTCCCGTGACTGTCCAGAACTGTAATGTGGATAGCATTTCGGGGATTCATAGTAAAAATTTGATATTCTTGAATACGGGAATCTCGGAGCTGAGTGGTTTTCAGAAGTCAAAAATTTAGGTGAATGATTTTGATAAAAATTCTTATTCATTGTCTCGTGTGCCTTCCAGGATTCCGGCTGACGAAAATTTGATGGCGGTAAGCTGCGAGAACGGCTGTATTTCTTGTAGATCGAGTTCTCGGTGCCCGACTCGTTCAAATCGACTCTGCCACGAGTTGAGTAGAAAGCAGGAATTGTGGGAGTCCTACCGTAATCCTCATTATAATAGCCAGGACAGTAAACGGGCCGGTTACTGTACCTATAGGTGAGCTCTTCAGGGTTATAGGGCTGTCGATAGTAAGTTTCGTAGCTTGTATCGAAATTTGGTCGGATCGGTCTTGAATCATAGATTCGGCTCTCCTGCGTTCCAGAACGACGATCAACGTTGAAGAATTGAGAATCCGGGGCAGGACGAGGTGTCCAAGAGCTCGAATAGGGATCAGGAGCTATTCGTGCACTATTTGGCCTCGAATTGTTTGGATAATCGATGTACGACGTATCCTGGAGGTCATGTTCGGCGAATCGACGATCAGTTCCAGAAAGTAAACGGTTTTTTCGGGGACTACTCGTTTTTCGATAGTACTCGACCTCTTCATAGTACTCTGTAGTGGAAAATTTCGAGGCAGACATGGGATTTTCGATTTTATTTGAGCTGAATAGCACTGGGGGAAGCTAGGAGCGTTTCGAGACGGTTAAATTTATATTTTATATTTCAAAAAAACTCTTATTCACTCAAGCCGATTCAATAGAAAAAAAAAAGGAAAAAAAAAATTTAAAAAGGATTGAAATTGAAAAATGACTAACGCAAATGTTTTCGTGCTTTCCATAATTTTCAAATATGCAAAGGTTATGGTTTTCAATTCACAAGAAATTGCGAAAATTTGGGGAAAATTCAAAATTTCTCTTTTGAGCCAATTATACTGAAGTGGGATGCGCTCTTTTCAAAGCAAAAATGGCTGAAAAGAAAAAAAATTTGAAAAACTTTTTGAAAGAGCCAATTATCCGTATTGAATGGACAGATAAAACAGCAAAAGAGGAAAGTTTTTCGATTTTGAAAGGAAAATAACGATTGAATGGAAAGATATTAAAATTTCATTAAATAAAATTTGCAATCTGGAAGTCACAGTAGTAAATAAATCAAAAAAAATTAAAAAAAGAAGACTTTTTTGTAACTGCATGGATGGCCGAGTGGTTAGCGAGTTTGGTAACGAGTAGGAGCCGGGCCGGGCAAGGGGTCGGGTTCGATCCCGGGCAAGGAAAATATTTTGGAAAATTGGAAAAAATTGGGAAAAAAATGCGTAGAATGTTTTTGAATCAATGTAATGGAGGATAAGGATTGTTTTCTAGTGAGAAAACGGCTTTCCAAAGGGTCATTCGAAGAGAATTTATGTAAAAGAAGGGATAGATGGGAACAGAAAAAGGGGACTCGACTCGACTCGTCTCCGCCAGGATTCTTCAAGAAAAAGAACCGGTGGAAAGACTTAGAAGAAAGAGATAAAAGATAGAAATAAGAAAAAAAACCCCGGGAAAATAATAGGACGAAAGGAAATGTGAAAATGATTCATCAAGGTTTAGAAATGAATCAAAAATGATGAGAAATTTCAATCCACTCAATTTGGAACAAATTTTTTGAAAGAGCCATTATTATTATTAGCCATTATTATTAGCCATTATCCGTATTGAATGGACAAATAAAACAGCAAAAAAGGAAAGCTTTTCGATTTTGAAAGGAAAATAACGATTGAATGGAAAGATATTAAAATTTCATTAAATAAAATTTGCAATCTGGAAGTCACAGTAGTAAATAAATCAAAAAAAATTAAAAAAAGAAGACTTTTTTGTAACTGCATGGATGGCCGAGTGGTTAGCGAGTTTGGTAACGAGTAGGAGCCGGGCCGGGCAAGGGGTCGGGTTCGATCCCGGTCAAGGGAAATATTCCAAAAAAATTGGAAAAAGATGTGTAGAATGTTTTTGAATCAATTTAATGGAAGGTAAGGACTAGTTGGCTAGTAAGAAAACGGCTTTCCAAAGGGTCATTTGAGTGGAATTTATGTAAAAGAAGGGGTAGAGGCAAACAGGAAAAGGGGACTCGTCTCCGCTAGGATTCTTCAAGAAAAAAAAACGGTTGAAGAGAGTGAAAAGGAAGAGATAAAAGATAGAAATACGAAAAAAAAACCCCGGGAAATAATAGGACGAAAGGAAATGTGAAAATGATTCATCAAGGCTTCGAATTAATCAAATTTCACAGAAATTTCCCAATCTTGTCAATTCAGAACAAGTTTTAATTAAAAAAGAAAAAAATAATTAAAGTTTTGTTAATTCTGGAGGTCACAACAAATATTGAATGAAAAAATATTTGAAAAGGTTTACTAAAAATTTGACTAAATGGTAGTGATAATGGTTTCCAAAAAAGTGGCTTCTGTTCAATTCTGGTCAATGCAAAATTTAGCCAATGATTTTTGAGAGTAAAAAAACGCTGTCTATGCTTTCCAGGATCGGCAAAAAGGATGAGTGAAAAGAGATAAAAGTGAAAGAGAGCTGGGAAAGAGGCGGGCATCGCATCAACGCATTTCGGCACTCCTTTTCCTTTTTTTTCCACTCATGGTCACTCTCACAAACATTCTATTGCTTTTTCAGTGAAAAAGTTTCTTTGCTAGGTTTTGCGGGGAGTGAAAGGGTTCTAGAAAGAGTTCTAGAAAGAGTTCTAGAAAGAGTTCTAGAAAGAGTTCTAGAAAGAGTTCTAGAAAGAGAGAAAGAGTTCTAGAAAGAGAGAAAGAGTTCTAGAAAGAGTTCTAGAAAGGTTCTTGAGTCTAAAGTGCTCCCCTCCCCCTCCCCGAATCGAGCAGAGTCTCATTTTGAGATTTTGTCGTTTTTTTTTCACAAACAAATCTCTTTTTGCGTTCCAGATGGTCTTCCAATAAAAAAAGGAATATTGGATCAAGAGGATCGTCGACATTTCATCGACAAAAAAGCGCTCGCTATATTTTGGAAAGAGGGCTGACGCTGTGAAACGCACAGCAAAAGCGATATTGATGTTTTGATGAGAAAATATGAAGATCTGGAAAACAAATAGCTGTTTACAATTGCTGTTTACAATTGCTGTTTACAATTGTTGTTTACAATTGGTCATCAAGATTAAAAAGAGGAGTAAAGGACAAGATAACAAGTGTTTCGAAACGATTAAAATATTTCCATTCATACAGGAGGTTTTTTTTTTGTTTATTTGAGTCGAGAACAAGTGAAACTTTGAGAAAACAATAAATTGCGATAAATTTGAATTTGAAGTCGACCGTTTTACGACTAAGCTTTGTGTTCCTGTAAAACACACTCTCTGTAAATGTTTGAGAATTTAAGCTTTGCTGATCTAATGTTTTAAAAAAGAAATCTACCGATTTACCGATTCTGGAGCTCAGCCAAAAGATTTTGGCTGAAGAAGAAATAAGCGCCGATTTTAGTGGAAAGATTTTCGAATAAATGATCGAAGGAAACTGTTTGACTCTTTCTCATCGGGATGAGGCCATTATTGACATTCTTCTATTCAATTCTATTTCTTTTCATTTCTTTTCATTTCTTTTCATTTCTTTTCATTTCTTTTCATTTCTTTTCTTTTCATTTCATTTCTTTTCTTTTCATTTCATTTCTTTTCATTCAATCAAAGGTGACAAACAAATAGGTGAAGGATAAGAGGAGAGAAAGATATTGAAAAGAGAGGGGATTCTATTTTTTTGCTTAATGCTGGCTGTCTGGAATATTAACCATGAGCCGAGCCAAGCAAGAGCGGAAACTTTGATCATTTCTGTACTCTGTGAATTCCAGAATTAACAAACCTTCTTTTAAAGCAAGACTAGCGTGTGTTCTGGCTGAGGAAACGAAGCTGCTAGGCTCGATCGCCTATAAGATTTTTGAGAAATGCAAGCTGGTTACTTTTTAACGAGAAAGATGAATGCACTGATGTCCAGATTGGCAAATGTTTTTGTTATTTTGTGAGGGTTGAGGCATCAGAAACAAAGTGCACATTCCGAAAAGATATTGAGGAGAGAAAGATATTGAAAAGGAAGGGGATTCGACTTTCTGCTTAATGCTGGCTGTTTGGAATATTAACCAAGAACCAAGCCAAGCAAGAGCGGAAACTTTGATCATTTCTGTACTCTGTGAGTTCCAGAATCAACAAAACTTCTTTTAAAGTAGGACTAGGCTGGCTAAGGAAATGGAGGAAATGGCTGGCTGAGGAAATGGAGCTGATAGGCTCAGCTGATAGGCTCAGTTGATAGGCTCAGTTGAGGCTCAGCTGATAGGCTCAGTTGATAGGCTCAGTTGATAGGCTCAGCAGCTTATAAGATTTGAGAAATGTAAGCTAGTTGCTTTTAAAGGACAACGATGAGTATACTGATGTCCAGATTGGCAAATGTTGTTGTTATTTTGGGAGAATTGAGGCATCAGAGACAAAGTGCACATTCCGAAAGGATGAGTCGATTTGATGGGAGAAAGAGAAGCGAGAAGCGAGAAGAGTCAAGCGGGAAAACAAATAAACACTTTCAACTGGTATGTGAGAAAAGAATGAATAATAGAGATGATAAATCGAGTAAAGAAAACTTGAGAATTTCTCTATTGACTCATTGGCGCAAGACTTTGAGAAGAAAATGCACAAAAAATGACAGGATTTGAAATTATTTAATTGTTCGCTGAAAATTATGGGATACAACTCAAATATTGACAATATTAGAAACAGAATTTGAATGTTTTTGTTTGAAAGCTCAGGGTTATGGAATTGAACAGGACTAGCCGAATTTAATTTGCTACAAGCTAGCAGATCCTATTTTAAGTTAATATTTGGAAACTATGGATGTCAGGACAATGATTGAAACTGAAATTTTCCCTAGTATATCAAAAGTTGATAAATATTTTTGTGTGGTGGAGGAGAAGAGTGTCGCTGAGTAAAGCTCTCCTCGTTTTTTCGTACAAAAATGATAAGAGAGGGAACTGAGGCTCTAAGTCGTGCCATTTCTGCTTTTTTTTCACGTCAAATAACAGCTTTCTTTCCATTGAAAGACAACCAAAATCTGAAGGCTTTGTGGTTTCAAGTGGGCGAATGGAGTTGACAGAAATCAGGAATTTCAGAAAGAAATTTGTGTAGAATTTCTGTTATTTCGAAAAGCTGGATGTCACAGGGGAAATTAAGAGAAAATTTGAGAGCGAATTTTGAAGGAAAAAAATTGGATCTGACCATTGTAGGGTTAAGATTTGGGACTGGGTGAAAAACTTGCGATTGATTTGGAAATCGGTGATTATTTTGGTTTATTTCGAAAAGCTGGATGTCACAGGGGAAATTAAGAGAAAATTTGAGAGCGAATTTTGAAGGAAAAAAATTGGGTCTGGCCATTGTAGGGTTGAGATTTAGGACTGGGTGAAAAACTTGCGATTGATTTGGAAATCGGTGCTGATTTTGGTTTATTTCGAAAAGCTGGATGTCACAAGAGTCTTTTGTGGTTTGTTTGCTTGAAAAGAATAAAAAAGAAAAATAATCGAGAGATTCCCCAGTCGATCACTGGGAATCTCCGAAAAATCGCTGAAAAATGGCAACTATTGACATATTTCCTTTTGACACACCCCGTATTTATTGGCAATTTTGG